CTGCATCCCATTTTGGGAAGTGCGTCTGGGGTCTTAAAAGCTTGCAAGTGGCCATCTAAGATGCATCAACTGGTCCCAGGTCACCTGGAGCAAAGGGAAATGCAGAACACCAAAGACACAAGGAAAATATTAGCCCCGAGACAGAAAGGGCCACATAAACCAGACTTCCATCAGCATGAGACCAGAAGAACTAGATGGTGCCCGGCTACCACCAATAACCGCCCTGACAGGAAACACAACAGAGAGTCCCTGATGGAGCAGGAGAAAAGTGGGGTGCAGAACTCAAATTCTAGTAAAAAGACCAGACTTAATGGTCTGACTGAGACTGGAGGGACCCTGGAAGACAGGGCCCCCAGACTCTGTTAGCCCAAAACTAAAACCATTCCCAAAGCCAACTCTTCAGATAAAGATTAGACTGGACCTTAAGACATAAAATGATACTCGTGAAGAGTATGCTTCTTAGCTCAAGTAGATACATGAGACTAAATGGCAGCTCCTGTCTGGAGGCGAGATGAGAAAGCAGAAAGGGACAGGAGCTGGTTGAATGGACACGGGAAATCCAGGGTGGAAAGCAGGAGTGTGCCGTCACATTATAAGGAGAGCAACTAGGGTCACATAACAACGTGTGTATAAATTTTTGTATGAGAAACTAGAGCTGTAAACTGTCACTTACAGCACAATTTAAAAAAAGAAAGAAAGTGGAAAACCAACCCACAGAATGGGAGAAAAAATTTGCAGATCATATATCTGATAGGTCTAGCATCCAGAATATGTTAAAAACTTAAAACTCAACAATAAAAAGATAACCCAATTAAAAAATGGGCAAAGGATTTGAAGAAATATTCTCCAAATGGCCAATTTTATTGTTGTGTACTGTCGAGTTGATTACGACTCAGTGACCCGATAGGACAGAGTAGAACTGCCCTGTAGAGTTTCCTAGGCTGTAAATCTTTACAGGAGTAGATCACCATGTCTCTTCCCCCACCATGCAGCTGGTAGGTTTGAAGCACTGACCTTTTGGGTAGCAGCGGAGCACCTAACCATTGTGCCAGCAGGGCTCCTAAATGGCCAGTAAGCACAAGAAAAGATGCTCAAATCCTTAGTCATTAATGAAATGCAAATCAAAACCTCAATGCGATACCACTTCACACCTGCCTATAATGAAAAGGACAGTAACAAGTACTGCCACAGATGTGGAGAAATTGGAACCCTCAAACATTGATGATGAGAATATAAAATGGTGTAGCCACTTTGGAAAACAGTTTGACAGTTCCCCCAAAAAATTAACCATAAAGTCACCACAAAACCAAACCCATTGCCATCAAGTCGATTCCAACTCATAGCAACCCTATAGGACAGAGTAGAACTGCCCCGTAGGGTTTCCAAGGAGCAGCTGGTGGATTTAAACTGCCAACCACTTGGTTAGCAGCTGAACACTTAACTACTGGTGCCACCAGGGCTCCAAAGTTATCGTATGACCCAGCAATTCCACTCCTAGGTATATGCGCAAGAGAACTGAAAACATGCATTCACACAAAAGCTTGTACATAAATGTTCATAGCAGCATTATTCATAATAGTAAAAAGTGAAAACAACGCAAATATCCACCGGCCAATGAATGGATAAATAAAATGTATTTTCATATAATAGCATATTATTCAGTCATGAAAAGAAATGAAGTACTGATAAATGCTACAATGTGGATGAACCTTGAAAACCTTATACTATGTAAAAAAAAAAAAAAAAAGCTACACCCAAGAGGCCCCATATTGCATGATTCCATTTATATGCAATGTACAGAATAGCAAATCAATGGAGACAGAAAGTACATTAGAGGTTGCCAGGAGTTGGGAGAAAGGGGGAATAGGAAATGAGTGCCAATGGGTATGGGGTTTCTTTTGGGGATGATGAAAAATGTTCTGGAATTAGTGGTAATGGTTGCACAACCTTGTGAATATAATAAAAACTACTGAATTGTATACTTCAAAAGGGTGAATTTTATAATAAGTGAACTATCTTAATAAATAAATTTTTTTAATGAAGTTCTTAAAATTCTCTTACTATTACTGTTTTCTGTAAAGCCCTAATAAGGTCATTTTAGGAGCCAGTAAATACAAAATGGATTAGGAAGATACTTCAAAGGAAAGTTAATATAGTTGAAGTGACAAAACAAGAGCATAACTGAGTATTTGGGAAAGTAGAAATAAAAGTAAAGCTGAAAAAAAGTGCATGGTTAATGAAGAAGTCTTCTAGAACAAGGTTAGGTGAGAAGAGAGGAAAATTAAACTAGTTGCTGATTTAATAATTTTCCCTTTATTACGATCTTGAGTCACACTTCAGAGGTATTAGAGTACAAGAAAGTTATAAGAATAGCATTATTATGAACCCATATTATTTGCAACTCAAAAAGATGGAACAAGCTTCCCACATTTACATATGCCCACCTTAACGATAAAACCAAGATCATTGGAGGTATTCTCCTAACGCTTTACCGGTTAGCTAGTTTCCTGTTGAAAATGTCAACCATGTCAACTTTAAAATAACAAAATAAAGCCATATTTGTATCCCTCAGTCTAAACTCATCAAGAACGACTGGTAAGTATAAATGCCAATGTTTATTCCAACTTGCATTTTTACACACAACTGTCTAAAAACTTTCTGGGTGGATTAAAGTATTCCATTTTCTGGCTACCTAGGAATTAAAATTTTAAATGAAGTTAAAATCTAGAATAGTCAAATGCATAGAGACAAAAGCTTATTAGTGGTTATCAGGGGCTGAGGGGTGGGGAGTTATTGCTCACGGGGTTCTGAGTTTCTGTTTGGGGTGATGAAAAACTTTTGGAAACGGGTAGTGGTTATGGTAGCATAACGTGGAGAATGTAATTAACATCACTGAATTCTATACTTAAAAATGGTTAAAATGGAAATTTTTTTGTTATATATATTTTACCACAATAAATTTTAAAAAAATTAAAATGTTTCTTCTACTGAAGTTAAAAGAATAATAATTCCTACTTGAATAATGAATGAATAAGCTATACGGCATAAAATTGTGAAGGACCAAGATCCTTTAGTACAGCCATTCGATCACATTAAACACATGATGCAGTGATACCAATTCATTGGAGATTTGAGGGAAGGACATTTTGCAAGAGTGCCTTATGCAAATACCAGGACTTGTTACCATATAAACAGGGGTCAACATCCTCATTAGCTCTGCCTTTGCCGGGCCAGTATTCATAAGGGATGTTTACATAATGCTTTCAGATATTCATTTTACTTGATTGGGACAACAACTCTATGAGATTGGAGGCCAGGAATTATATTATTATCCATTTCACATTTGGGAGCAGAAGCTCAGAAGTGGGAAGTGACTTGCCCAAAGCCACCAGGATGGTCAGTAGCAGAGCTGGGACTCAAAGCTGATCTTCTAATAACAGATCTCATCTTCTGTCCACCACACCTCTTTCTGCAAATAAGCGATGTCAAAGGTAGGCTTAAGGCAGTCTATACGAAGAAAGAATGAGAGGAAGGAAAAGCAGGCAGTGGGGGAAAAAAAAGGGAAGGTGACAGGAGATGGAGGTGCTTTATCAGCAACTGAGTCCAATCACTCTCAGTTGCCCCGAATACCCTTAAAAGCAACAATGCCACAAGTTACTCTGCTCTGAGTGAAACCTTTGCCCCTGGTCTACAACTACGTTATTTTATTAGCTGAAATTCATGTTGGAGACTTAAATGTCTAAAAGAAATCTAAAGATTCTTCTCCGAGGTTTTGACAGTTGAATTTAGCCCCTCCCACAAAGCCCCTTCACCCTCTGCCTCGGTCTTATTAAATGCGGGGGAGGGGGGAGCAAAGAAACTGTGAGTTGTGGGGAGAATGAAGGGAAGAGGGTTTGTGGTTGGCGGGGGGCGGGAGGTGGGGGGAAACTAAAGTTGGGCTGAGAGGGAGCCTGCGGTGGGTCTGTGGTTGGAGGATGTGGGTTTTGTGGCTGAACTCGATGGTGAGGTAGGAAACCAGGATCAGAATTGATAGCCCGAGTGGAGTTTACAGGCCCCTGGCGGGTTTGGAGTAGGGGAGCTGAAGGGCCGAGGGAGCCGAAAGACACAAGGAAGGTGCAAGGCTCGGTGGTCTCCGGGCTCCAGAATGAAGAAAGCGAGGCCCCTTGCGAACGTCTGTGATTGGATGCTTCCTTAAGTTCCGCCTCCCCGGACCCCCCTTCTCCCTCAAGCCCCGCCCACAAGGCAGGCGCGCGCCGGGGGCGCGGGGAGGGGGACCAAGCTGGAGCAAGGGGGAGGGGGAGAGGAGCGGCTCGTGCACGCGCCCCACTCGCTGCGGGTGCGCGAGCAGCGCGCTCCCGACGCCCGCGTCGCCATCTTTTCCCCCTCTGTCTGTCCGCCCGTGGCTTGTCCGTCTGCAGCACCGCCCCTCGGCTACCCGCCACCGGCTTGGCCCAGAGCCGCCCTCCGCCCGCCGGGGCCCTGTACAGGAGAGGCGCGGCCCGGCCGGGCCTGAGCTGCCGCCGGGGGCCCATTGTCCGGCCGGCCGTCTGTCTGGAGGCGGGGCCCAGGGACCCGGAGCGCAACGGAGCGCCGAGGCGTCGGGTAAAAAGACCCCCGACTCCTTCCCTCTGGGCCCAGACTGAGGATGCAGGGGCCCCTCGCCCCCCTCTTCGTCGCCGGCTGTCGGTCCTTTTGTCTGTGTTTGAGGAGTGGGCTAGGGACTCGTTCTGGCCTGGAGGGCGGCGCAGCCAAGGCCCCCCTCCCTCCCCCGCGGCTCACCCCTCACCCCGCGGTTCCCAAGACGAGGCCAGACCGGGCTGGCTTCCCACCCCGCCGTTCCACATTTTGTCCCTCCGCGGTCTCGGGCGCAGGAGGGCGTCCGCGGTGCGGCCCTACCCGCGTCCGCCCTCGTCAGCCCCCGGCCGCGGGCTGGGCCTCCCCCGCCTCCGGCCGGGGCGCCGGCAGCCTAGCCGGCGTCTGACAGGCTTGGGTGGAGCTACGGGAGGGGTAGGTTGGGCGTGGGAGGGCAGACCAGGGGGTATCAGTGCCAGTGTCTCGGTCTCGCAGAAAAGCTTCTAAATTTAGATTTCTGAGAAGACTGTGTTGTCTGAGGGTTTGTCTGAACCGCCTCCGAAGACCTCTGACATTTGTCTGATAATTCCTGGGAATTTACCTGTATTCCTGCTTGAAGAAGCAAGAGGGAACATCTCGGCTGATTAAACACACTCCAAACCAAACAGAAGTGGGAACATGGTGAACAGTGAGGCGGCTACGTGACCAGCTTTCTTGTCCTCTCCTTTTCGGCAGATACAAATCACTTGGATTCAGGCGAGTTTGCTTTGCTCCGTGGGAACCGAACGGGAGCTGGAGGTGGGAGTGCACCCTCTTTTCTTAAAGCTTGGCTTTCACCCGATTTTTCTTGCTAAATTCTGTAGTGTGCCCTGGGAGCTGCAACCTAACACCTGTGGGAGAGCAGGGACCGTGTTAGGAGGAGTAGAGAGACGTAGGGCCCCTCCCGAGGACTTTTAAACTCATTCTAAAGACCAACAAAGCGTCCTTCCTTTTTCAGAAGAATCCGTAGTAGACCTGAATTCCCGTTTACCTTTCTTTCTACCTCATATTTCTTCAGGATGGTGATGTTCAGATAGCTATCCATTTGATTTCTTGGTTTGGTTTCAGATTCGGGTTTGGGAACTGAGGCAGTGTTGAAAGTAAAACTGAATGATCTTTAGGGCAGTGTGTCTACGGGTTTTATTAGCTTTTATTGCCTACGGTTGCCTGTAAAACAGCTGTCTAGCCTCTGAGATCTTGATGTGTCATGAAGAGTGTCCTTTCAGTCCCATTTATTTATTTTTAAAGAGTCCATAATGGCCTTTTTATGGGGGGGGGGCGCGGCAGGAGGAGAGTATTTGCTTATTTTTCCCTTGATCCCTCAGGTGTGAAGTCCTATTGGGTACCATCTGGTCAGTTCCTCATTTGGCCACTAGGAGGATTGTGAGATGCTGTGGACACTGCTGATTTAAATACGCAGATGCTCATCTGTGTCTTCTGACTTAGGTAGCTTCAGTGTTGAACTGTTGCCTCATTAAGATGATCTGAATAGAGGTTAACTGTCTCAAATGATTTGGCCTTCCTTCAGAAGGGACTTTATTACCTGCATATCACAGTTGTAGTTTCTGATCTTGATGGGGAGAAATTTAAAGATTAGTTAAAATTCCATTTTTTTCCTTAGACAACATAGAGGTGTATTTCTGCAAACTTTAGAAAAAAATTATGGATAACCTGTAGTTCATTTAACTTGCCACCTTGTGATTCCACAGACATACAAGAAAAGAGCTAAAGTGTGATACTCACTCACTGCTTCAGTAATTTAAAATAACTACTTGATTAGAAAAGGATACACACAAACAAAACTTAAAACGGAGAACACACAGCATTAGCATTAGCCTTTAGCATACTGCCCTCTAAATATTAAAATTGAATTTTACTGTTACACATTTGGAGTTTTTTTTTTGTTGTTGTTGTTGTTTTAATTAAAGGTCTGAAAAAGAACTGTGTTTGATATGCAGATATGATAGACGACTGCCTGAAAGCTGCTTCCTTTGCCACTTCCTGTGGAGGCCTGTCTTTGCCATTTGCGGTTTCTTTCTTCTTTTGGTAAGGGGAGGCAAGATCTGATTACAGGTCTGAGGTCCTTTCTAGCTACATAGAGTAGTTAGTTGGCATAACAGGAGGTGAGTCTTCACTAACTGGAATGCAAAGTATAGCTAGCTGTAGCCTCTCATAACTCCGCTTAATACAATTAACTGTAATTTTATATTTATTCAATGTAAGTAAAATTTGAGAAGGTAGGAACCGAAAGAAAACTTAGAGAGTGGCCAGATCCATTTTCCTGTCTTTGGTAGGAAGAGACTCCATCTCCTTTTATCTATAGGTCTGTTTATTCTCTTTATCTTTCAAAGAAATTTTCACAGCTTCTGCTACTAATCCATGCCAGACTCTAACAATACTTACCGCTGGGAAAGTCTTTCTTATAGCTAACCAGGAATCTCCATGCTTAAGTGTCTGTTCACTCCTATATCACGAGGGCAGGTGCGTGTCTCTGCAGCACTTCTACAGTTAGGGGGGCTTTTCCCTTTGTTCCTCCCACTGGTCTCTTTGCTACATAGAGGCTGGATGAGAAGAGGCAGTGCAGTTTTAACTTTGACCACCACTCTAGAGCATGTGAGCAGGGCCAGAGCACAGTTAGATATTCCACACTGGGGTGCTGAATTAGTACTCAACAACACGGATGTGAGAGCCCATCTTCTACACTGGAAGTCTGATTTGTTTTAGTGCCCTGTCATCCACAGTGCCCAGCACTGTGCCTGCATCACTAGATAGAGGCTCTATTTCCCACACTGTTCTCATTTACAAATGCCTAAGAGTTTTGAGACTTTCCTGTCTCACAGCGATGTGATGCCTTTGTCACCTCTACGTGAAATAACTGCTTGAAAAAACATCTGGAGGCATCCATTAGTGCACATGGCAGTGTTTGACTTCCAGTGGGCATGTGACATGTGAGCTGCCACCCTCTTTGGCTTCCTTCTATTTCCTCTTATAATTCATAGGGATTATCCCTTTGAGCCCACAGTACTTGTAACCCTGGTTGCCTGGGTTTTGCTTCCTTTTCTATTCTGTGACCTTGATCATAATCACTTAACAGTATTCTGGATTTCACAGATGGATTTAGAGTGGAATTCCCTAAATCCTCTGGAGGAGTCCCCTCTTTCACTTAAACTTCTTGGTACCTTGACATTGTGCTAGAGATTTATTCATTTCTTTCTTTCAATCATTAGTTCAGTTATTTATAACTGGTGAGTTTTATATGCTCAAGCGCTATTTTTAAAAGTTTTTATCTTTTAATTTTATATAATTTCTGGGCAAAATTACATGTGCTAGCAATGATCCTTTTTCATTGTAGGTCAGCACCTTGCAAGGAGGTAGTAACATATCCAGTCGTGAAACTGGGAAAGGCCAGAGCTCTTGGATCAGGGAAACATGTCCCGCCGGAAACAGACAAATCCAAATAAAGTTCACTGTGAGTACTGGGCTTTGTCTTCTGAAACCTGGGAATGTTGAGGGTTGAAATGGAAGAGTAACTTAAAATTAGGGTGAGAGGCTCAACAATAATTTGTGAAGAAAGGGCTAAAGGTATTGAATGTAATGGATTTAAGGTGTGTCTCATTGCCAGAGGAGGTGTTTAGAAACCTGTCTTAGGGTATGTGCACTTGATTCATCCTTAGACTACCTACTCTGTGCAAGGCCTTATAGTAAGTGCTAGGGTTGTAAGCAATTTAGGATATACAAGACTAATACAGCCTCAAATATCTATATATCTAAAAAATAATGTATAAAAATACAAGATCGTATATGCTAAGTACCCAATAGGGACGTTGTAGACTGTGTGTACTAAAGACATTAAAAGGAAGAAGAGAGTTCCATGGACTGAGGTAGCGAGGTTTCACTGGATAGAAGGGGACCTACACTGTGAAATTGAACTGGGACTTTTTGTTATTGTTGTTAGTTGCCATGAAGTTGATTCTGACTCAGGGCAACCCCATGTGTGCGGAGTAGAACTGCTCCATATGGTTTTTAACGCTGTGAATTTCTGAAGCAGATCACCAGGCCTGTCTTCCGAGGTGCCTTTAGATGGGTCTGAACCTTCAGCCTTTTAGATACTAGGTTGAGCGCTTAACCATTTGTACCACCCAGGGACTCCTAATTAATTGGGCCTTAGAGGGTAGAAAGTAAATTAAAAAATAAAAAAGAGGAAGGGAGAAGGACAGTCAGATAAGGAAAAAGCATGAGCAAAGATATAAGAGGGAATGCACATGATATATTAAGGGAATGAGTAGACTTTGTATGAAGCAAACTCATTTTTCCAGAAGATATAGGACATGAGGTTAAAGATGTTTGACTGTACATTGTGTAGGCTTGAATGCCAGACCAAATTCAAACTTCATTTTGCAGACTATAAGGAGCTACTGAAGGTTTTTAAGCAGGGAGAGTGGAGTGTTTGGGACTATGAAGCACTGTGTGGGATGGATCATATGAGGAAGAGACTGGAAATAGGGACACCAGGTGTGCACTACTGCCTTCCATTCTGAACAGTCAGTTTCATATGTATGTTTTATTAGATTAATTAGATTGTAAACTTCTAGAGGGCAGAGACTATGTCCCATATATATTTCCTTATGCATCCCTCTACTTCTAGCACTGCTCATAGAGGTTGTTCAAGAGTGCCTTATTAAATAAACACAAATATATCTAGACAGATTTGAGATAACCAGTATCCTATGATCTGGGGAGATAGGCATTTCACCCAAATGTTCATAAAAGAGACAGATAGCTCCCTATTATTATTGAGGACTAAGTAAAATGTATCAACATTTGAAGAGAATTCAGAGGTATAATATGAAAGGTTTTTTAAAGGAAAAAACCTACATTTGAAAGGATCGATTAGTCAAGGAGATAAAAGAACTAACATTAATTTAAAATATACTATATGACAGGCGCCATGTACTTTATCTTATTTTGTTTCAAAAGTAGGCAAGAAAACAGAATGAACAAAGGAATTAAGAGGGCACCAAAACCTTATAGATGAATGAGATTAGGATAGCCAACCTCCATGTACAGTGAACTCTTTAAGTCCTGGAAAAGTTTTATAAGAGGAAACAGTTGAATACTTTTATGTGTGTATTCTGGAATAGGTGGATGTGGAAGGCTGCTTAACATAAAGGTGAGTGATTTAGGAAGGAGTTATAATAAATTGTTGCTAAAACAGTAAAATTTAGTGGGCCTGAATTTGAGGATCGCCAAAGGAGATAAAATGAAGTATCTGTAGCATAGACAATCTAACACACACAGGTTTAAGAGGATTGTCTTCTCCTCTATGGATGAAGATGAGTATTGATATTTAAAAAAAAAAAAAAAAAAAAAAACCACAGATGTGGCCCCAAGAAGGCAGGGC